ACCAAAGTCCAGATATCAAAGACACTAGAAATAAAAATATATGAACTTTGTCGATACTCGAAGACCATTTGTTGAACAAAGACATTTTATTCAATGTGTCTATTATTAATAAAACAAAGTTGTTGCTTCCAATAAAACACATTTAAAGAATATTATGATATATACAAGAACATTATACCAGTTTTAACCAAAGAGAAAAAAGAAAAAGTAATTAACATTACTGTGTTAACATTACTGACTTCTATACTTATATAGAACCAAACAATGCACCAAAGTCAAACAAAAGTAATGGAAAACTTTTTGCATTAGTGTTATACTGATCCAGATATCAAAGAAGTAGAGGACCATTTGTTGAAAAAAAGACTTTTTTTATTCAATGTGTCTATTGCCTTACAAAGTAAAGTGAACAAACTTACAAACTATGCAAGTATATGCATACAAACTAATCTAAAGACAGGCAAATAAAGATAAAGTCTTAACCTATTTGCTTATATGACCATATTGCTTTTAGTGGTCTTTGATTGATTGGTTATTTTCTGCTTGCTGTTCTTCAATTACTCCAGTGCTTGGATTATTTCATTCTAAAAAGAATAACAAAAAAAAAAAAATTAATTGGTTAGAATTTGTGTTAAGAATATTTAATAACAAGACCAAGAGGAAAAGGATACACTGGCATAACAGAGAAGTGAAGATTAGTGGAATCAAATAATAAATGTATGTATTCAATGTTCTTACAACTTATCTAAACAAATTGACAACAATGAAAGTAAAAACAGATGAACTTGGTCTATACTTGAGGACCATTTGTTGAAAAAAAGTCTTTTTAAATCAAACTGTCTATTGCCTTACAAAGTAAAGTGAACAAACTTACAAACTATGCAAGTATAACAATACAAAGTCATCTAAAGTAAGGCAAATCAAGATAGAGTCTTAATCTATTTGCTGATATGACCATAGTGCTTATTTTCTGCTTGCTGCTCTTCAATTACTCCAGAGCTTGGATAATTTCATTCTAAAAAGAATAAAAAAACAAATAAAAAGGTTAGAATTTGTGTTCAGAATAAATAATAACAACACAAGTATAGAAGAAATTTGCTAGCACATTTAGAAAGAAATTAGATAACAGCACCTAAATTCAAGATTTGTAAAGTAATTAACATTACTGTGTTAACTAAAAATCTGAGAATCTTTTTTTTTTGAAAGAAATTAACTTTCAAAAAAAATATAATTGATGGACAGCTATCATTACTATTAAGAGAAAACTCTTCAGTTCCAATCCTACTTTCAAAATCAAGGCAAAAGTTAAATAAACTACAATGAACCCATCTAAAGAAAGATGCCCCATCTAACTACCAACACAGTTCTCCAGTTTCAGACCCCAGCCAAATAGACAATTCACATCTACATTTTCAAGTACACACAATAGATAGTACAATGAGGAAAATCACTAAGTCAACAATTATAGGCATCAAAAGGAAACCAAGTGAGGAAAATAAAGGTAAGTTCGAAACTTATCTTTTTCATACTTGAAATGAAGCTGCATTGTAGCATCCCTCTTGCTGTGCGATTCTGTTTGTGCTCTCCATCTCCTCAAATAATTCCAGTATGTCCATAAAAAACAACATGATAAAGTCGATTAGAGGTTAGGGTTTGTGTGAATAATAATATAGCTATAGCATTTTGAACATGATATTTACACAGTTAACAGTAATTTCAATTGGGTATTTTTAGAGCAACACTACAAAGAATACGATTTAGAACCCTAATTGCTATGAATCATACAAATCTGAAATTAAGAGATTTTATCTATGATTGTCGATATGCATGCTTAGATCCAGAAAATTAGATCAAGTTTAGAACAAACAACAGTGATAAATAAGAAACCCTAAACAAATTGACTGCAAATTTAACGCATACTAACCTTAGTAGTTGAAAATTAGCTTCAATGCATCGCGATTTCCACCATTTACTGTTGTTGAACACTACGATCTTTCACAGAAATAAAAGATCGCGATTATGTACTGAGAATCGGGGCGATGCTCATCTAGACCCGACTACAATTTCTCCCGAAACAATGTTCAATAAGAACAGTTGAATCCGAGATTACGACTAAGGACTGATCTAGATTTAGGCTTGACAGAGAGAGATCGGAAGATCGTTTTGAGAGGGTGAAGAACAGATCTGTTCAGACATGCGAAGGAGAAGGGTATTCACCCTTCTTCCTCTTCTCAGAAGATTCCGACCGAACAAACATATAATATTATATATATATATATATATATATATATATATATATATATTAATTTATATCTATAAACTATTTAAATCTATTTATCTATTTATATAACAATATATATATATATATATATTCATTTCTGTATATATATATATATTCATTTCTGTATATATATTCATTTCTGTATATATATCTATTTATAAACTATTTAAATTATATATGTACAGAAATGAATATATATATATATTGTTATATAAATAGATAAATAGATTTAAATAGTTTATAGATATAAATTAATAAATATATATATATATATATATATATATATATATATATATATATATATATATAGTCTTCATATTATTTAATTTTGAATTGTTATGTGTAATTAATTAGATATATTATTTTTCATTGTAATGATATTTGTTGTGCACACAATTTTGTGGACCATGTTATACCTAATAATTTGTCCACTAAACTGTAATCTTTGTTTATAGGAATTACAATTTCAGGTTATAGGCTAGCATAATTACATTATCCGTTAGGTGTGTTTAGTGTCACAACAACTACTTTCTTCATAAATGTTAGGCAAATCCCAAAAATTAGAAATTAATGTTGTACTATTAACTATGTTATGTGTAATTCATATTTACGATTTTTTATTATTTGATTTTTTTTTAATGTTATATTTTATATCATAGAAAATGAATTGGGCAACTCATCATCAAGGAATAATTCTGCTCAATGAAAACAACAGCCTCCGGCAATAAATCCTTCCCGCATTCCTTTTGGAGGGTGTTTGTCTCAAAACATCACACCATTGAGTAACATTACTAACGGTAAATCCCCTAAGTTGAATTGATATACCTTCATTGTGAATTTAGAAAACCTTATATTTTTAATTATGGAAAAAATGTGTGTGAAATTAAATTGTATAATTATAATGTAAGTAATGGACCATACCACTTTGCATAGAATACTTTAGTATTACAATAATACTTTGATTGGTATTAATGATATATACTTTCTAATTAATGGTATTTATTGTGCACAAAATTTTGTGGACCATGGTCTACCTAATAATTGGTCCACTTATTAGGTAACCCTTATTTTTAGCAATTACAATTTCAACTTATAGGCTAACATAATTAATAGCGTTAGTTGTGATTAATTTATAAAATTTAAACTGCTGTAATTACTGTTGTTATTATAGTCTTCTAATTTTTTATTTTACATCACAGCAAATTATTTTGGCAACTCATCATTAAGGAGTAATGCTGGTCAAGGTAAAGAGCAACATACGCCAACTAATCATTCCCAAATTCCTTTGGGATGTGGTTTGTCTCAAGATATCACACCATTCAGTAACATCAGTAACGGTAAATCCCCTAGGATGAATTGATATACATTCATTGTGAATTTAAATATCCTTATAGTTTTAATTGTTAAACGATGTTTGTCAAATGAAATGTTATAATTATAATGTAATTTATGTTTAATATCAATTTCTAATTTTTCTTTACAATAGTTAATTTTTTTTTGTTATGTGTAAATAATTGATTAGATTGTACTTAATGATATATACTTTTACATTCTAATTCTATTTAGGTTGTACAAATTTCTGTGGACCATGGTCTACCTAATTCTATTCGATTACATATTACTGTTGTGCAATTGAAAAAATATTTATGTTATGTGTACTGAATTGTTTCGAGTTATAATTATTGGAATTATTTCTTAATTTAATGTTATATTTTATATCACAGCAAATTTTTTCGGCAACTCATCTTTTACGAATAATGCTGCTCAAGCTAAAGACCAACGTACGACAACTAATCCTTCCACAATTCCCATTGGAGGATGTTTGTCTGAAAATATCACACCATTGAGTAACATCACTAACGGTAAATCTCCTAAGATGAATTGATATACATTCATTGTGAATTTAATTATAATAATGTAACTCATGGTCCATAGAACTCTGTGTGGAATTGTAATTTCACTAATTTGTCTTCATATGATTTACTTTTTAATATCAATTTCTAATTTTGCGTTAAAATAGTTAAATTTCTTTGCTTATGTGTAATTAATTTGTTAGATTCTACTTAGTGAAATATACTTTTTCATTCTAATTCTATTTAGGGTGCACAGATTTTTGTGGACCATGGTCTACCTAATAATTTTTCCATTAAAATATAATACTTATACAGTGAAATTACTATTTCATATTCTAGGCTAGCATAAGTTATAATGTTAGGTGTACTTAATTTATAATATTAAGACTTCTATAATTTATTTTGTTCTTATGTGCTACCAACTATTTTGTTTATAGTCCCCTAAAATGTAGGGGTTTAAATTAATTGTGACTTTAAATATTGTTATACTTTAAATTTGTCTAATATTACGTATGTGTATAGTACGTTCGTCCAATACACAGATAGGTGCAAGCAATTGCTAGCCATTTGTTTTTGTAGATAAACAAAATCCTGCATCGACGATAACACAAGATGAATTTGCAATTCGTAAACCATTACATAAATATGCAATTGTCGAAGACCATGTAACAACAAGAGACTTGCTATCTGCCTTTGAAGATGAATGTAACCCTACAATGATCGACACACCAAATCAATACATAGCTGGTAATAAGATACTCTACTGGTTTTTGAAACAACTATAAGTAAAGTACATATGCAAACCTTCAACTATTAAAATTGATTTTTAAATGTATTTTTAATTTCATATGCAAATATATCGAGTAACAATGTTAGGCAGACCTCGGATATTGGGACATCCTCTGGTCCACAACATGGTATGTATATTTGTTTTATAACTGCATAAAATATCAATAAGTATTTCATTTTGTATATATTTGGTTTCAGGTCAATACTGCGATTTTGGTGATGCAACAAATAAATGCGTGCATTGTGGGGCTTTGTTTTAGTTTGAAGAAAGGAAGAAGAATTTGTCAACAAAAGCATCGCCACTGTTTATGTTGTGTTGCAACAATGGGAAGATCAAGTTGCCGGAGAATAAGTTGCCACCAAAAGGTATATTTGATCTCTTTTTCGACAATGACGAATTATCAAAAGAATTTTTACACAACATTAGGACCTACAACAACATGTTCTGCTTCACATCCATGGGAGGAAAAATTGACAAGAACGTGAACAAGGGGGGAGCACCTCCAATTTTTCTATTAAGTGGTCAAAACTATCACCTAATGGGCACTCTACTTCCAGAACAAGGCAAAGAACCTCATTTTGCCCAGTTATACATATACGACACGGCAAATGAAAAGATCAACCGTATAAATGCTGTGAGGTAAACAAGTTTGCGTAATTACACATTAAATACTATTTTTTATCTAAATAAATATCAATGCCAAGTTTATGTTGTTGTAGGGGTAGTGGTGAGCAAGATGACATTCATGTAGAAATAGTGAATGCCATTCAGAAAGACCTCGATGAAAATAATGTTTTGGTTAAGTCTTTTCGGATGGCTATGTCTGAGTTGGATATTAATCCATCCGCCGAAGTCAAAATAAAGTTGTTGGGAAAAAGAACTAGAGATGCGAGGACATATAATCTGCCGCAAGTTTCTGAAGTAGCAGCTTTAATTGTGGGAGATCTGGATACCAGTATTGGAGAGCGTGATATTATTGTTCAATCAAAGGGTGGCCACCTACAGAGGATAAGTGAATTAAATCCTCCATACTTACCACTGCAATACCCTATTTTGTTTCCATATGGCGAAGACGGTTATCGGGAAGACATTGCATTCGCGGGCGTAGTAGGCAAGAGCTCTTCAGGTGGTAGACAGAGGATTAGTCCCAGGGAGTTTTTTTGCTACCGCATACAGTCTAGACAGTCAGCTCCGAGTACCATATTATTTGCAAAGCGGTTGTTCCAACAGTTTGTTGTAGATGGCTACAAAATGGTTGAGTCTGGAAGACTAATTTATATAAGGACACACCAAAAAAGCCTAAGGTGTGAGAGTTATAGTGGATTGACTGATGCTTTGACAAGGGGTGAATTAAGCCCTGCAGCCCAAGGTCGCAGAATAATACTACCTTCAAGTTTTACGGGTGGTGCTAGATACATGATACAAAACTACCAAGATGCAATGGCAATATGTAGATGGATTGGATACCCAGATTTATTTATAACTTTTACATGCAATCCGAAGTTTCCTGAGGTGCAACGTTTTTTAAAAGATCAAAGGTTGAAGCCAGAAGATCGGCCGGACATAATTTGCCGGTTATTCAAGATTAAGTTGGATGCTTTGATAGCTGATTGTCGAAAGAATAAACTATTTGGCCCTGTGGCTGGAGATAATATTTGTTATTTTATTTTAAATCAATTATGTTACAATTTTATTTAATTACTTAACCTTATGATGTTTATGTCTATGTTGTTGCAGTCATATATACAATTGAGTTTCAAAAGCGAGGTCTTCCGCATGCTCATATATTACTTTTTTTGGAGAAAAGTAAAGAAGTTAGGCAAGTTCTTACTCTAGACAACATAATTTGCGCAGAGATTCCAGATGAAAAGAAAGATGCAGAGTATTACCAAGCGGTAGAGGAATTTATGATGCATGGTCCATGTGGAAAAGCGAGGGCCAATTCTCCATGTATGGTAAATGCGCGATGCTCTAAACATTTTCCTAAGAGATTTGTTGAGAGTTCTACATTTGATGACGATGGTTACCCGATATATAGAAGGACAGACAATGGCAGTGTAATTACAAAGAACGGGATCGCCTTGGACAACAGGTATGTGGTACCGCACAATATATATTTATTGCTCAAGTACAAGGCTCATATAAATGTCGAGTGGTGCAACCAGTCACGGTCAATCAAGTACCTGTTCAAGTATGTTAACAAGGGTCATGATCGGGTAACCGAATTTTTACGAAACAGGCAATGATGACGAGAATGGCAAAGCAATAGATGAGATAAATATGTACTATGACTGTAGGTACATATCCCCGTGTGAAGCGGTTTGGCGTCTGTTTGGTTTTGATATACAACTTCGGGCGCCTTCAGTGGAAAGGTTAAGCTTTCACCTTCCTAATCAACAGAGTGTGATATTTGCAGATGATGATGCTGTTGAGAACATTGTGAATAGACCTACTATTGCACAGAGCATGTTTTTGGAATGGTTTGAAGCAAATAAAACATACCCCGATGCGAGAGAACTTACTTATGTTGAGATGCCAACAAGATTTGTTTGGAAGAAAGACCTTAGAAAATGGCAGCCACGAAAGAAAGGGTTCTCAATAGGACGTATATTCTATGTCCCGCCAGCTACTGGTGAAATTTTCTATTTGAGGTGTTTGCTGAACAAAATCCGTGGCCCTAAAAGTTATGAAGATATTAGGACTGTAAATGGGGTGCAATATGACTCATTCCGAGATGCGTGTTATGCAAGGTGTTTAGTTGATGATGATAACGAATATGTTGATGCAATAGATGAAGCCAGTCATTGGGCGTCAGCAGATCAATTGAGGAGATTGTTTGTGACATTGCTAATGAGCAGTTGCATGGGGAAACCGGAAATAGTTTGGCATGCTGTGTGGCAACATCTATCAGACGATGCACAATTCAACGTCCGTAGACAACTGCAGAACAGAGGTAATCGTACATTTTTAAAAAAATATTAAGTCAAGTTTAACGTAGTTGTATTATAACACCAAATTTTAATATATATTTATGCAGATTTTGTGTTGACCGATTCGCACAAAATGAACTTTGCCTTAGTAGAGATTGAGAAGCTATTATCTACTCATGGTAAGAGTTTGAAGGACTATCCTGAAATGCCAACGGTAAATTTTCGTGCCTTAAACGTTATTGCAAATAGATTTATTCAAGAAGAATTAGCATACGATTGTGGCGAACAGGAGAAAGAGAATCAAGAATTGGTAAGGCAGTTAACAGACGAAGTGTTAACTGACATTGATCGCCAGGAAGGGGGGTTATTCTTCGTTTATGGTTATGGAGGGACCGGTAAGACTTTCTTGTGGCGAGCACTTTCTTCCGCATTAAGGTCTAAGAGTCAAATAGTGTTAAATGTTGCTTCTAGCGGTATAGCTTCGCTTTTATTACCTGGTGGGAGGACGTCACATTCTCGGTTTGCTATACCGATATCTGTTAATGAAGATTCCACATGCAACATACGTAACGGAAGTGAACTGGCGGAACTTCTGGTGCAAACAAAGTTGATAATATGGGATGAAACCCCAATGATGCATAAATTCTGCTTTGAAGCCCTTGATCGAACTATGCGGGATTTGATGCGCTTCATAAATCCAATGAGTTCTGATATGACATTCGGTGGTAAAACAGTTGTTTTGGGGGGCGATTTTAGGCAAATTTTACCAGTCATTCCAAAGGGTACTAGACCAGATATAGTTCGAGCGAGCATTAGCTCATCCTATCTCTGGAAATCCTATAAAGTCCTAAGGCTGACTAAGAATCTACGTTTGAAAAGTGTTCAATCAGAAAAAGAGTGCAAGGAGATCGAGGAATTTGCAAAATGGATAGCTAATATAGGTGACGGAATTATTGGGTGTCAACTTGATAGGGAGTCCGAGATTACTGTTCCAGAAGATTTGTTGTTGAAGTGCGAAGATAACCCTATTGCTACAATTGTTGATAGCACTTTCCCTAATTTCCGACTGGGAATTGCAGATTTGTCATATCTTAATCATAGTGCAATTTTAGCTCCAACATTGGATGTGGTAGATGTCGTTAACCAATACATGAATGATCATAATCCGGCTGAGGGTAAGACATACTTGAGTTGTGATTCTGTGTGTAAGTCAGATGCCAATGTTGACATGTTAGCGGATTTGCACACTCCAGAATTCTTGAATTCCTTGAGATGTTCTGGAGTACCAAATCATGCTTTGACATTGAAAGTTGGATCACCTGTTATGCTATTGCGAAATATTGATCACACACTAGGATTATGCAATGGTACAAGGTTGATTGTTACAAGGTTAGCTGACCATGTGTTGGAAGGCCAAATCATGTGCGGTACAAATGCAGGAACCAGAGTATTGATTCCTAGGATGTGACTTACACCGTCAGATCCAAGATTGTCTTTCAAATTTCAACGAAAGCAATTTCCTTTGATGCTATCCTATGCCATGACAATCAACAAAAGTCAAGGACAAACGCTTGCTAAAGTTGGGTTGTTGTTGAAAAAACCTGTCTTTAACCATGGACAACTGTACGTAGCTGTTTCAAGAGTTAGTAACCCCAGGGGTTTGAAAATTTTGATTTGCGGGGAAAGTGTACCATGTCTTAGTACGACTAAAAATGTTGTGTACAAAGGAGTCTTCAATAATGTATAATAACATTCAACAATTTATTATTTAAAATTTAGTATTTTTTAAAATACTAGGTTTCTTATTATTATTATATTATTATACGTAATATAATATGTACTATATAGGTAGCCATGCATCACATTATTTCAACAATGAAGTCTTCAATAATGTATAATAAAATTACTATATTCATCAATGTGTAATAAAATCACAACTTTTCATTTCACATTTTTTCAGGTTCAAATAACTATATTCTATACTGTATATATATCATACTATATATATAGCCGCGCATCGCGCGGGTGCACCTACTAGTAATAATAATAATAATAATAATAATAATAATAATAATAATAATAATAATAATAATAATAATAATAATAATAATAGTAATAGTAGAAAAGGGTCAAATAGGACCCTAAACTTTACCCCAAAGGTCAATTAGGCTCCGAAACTTTAAAAAAGTTCAATTCGGAGATGTGTAATTCTCCTACTCCACTCTTCTCCTTTCACTCCAAGGAGGAAATTCACTATTCTTCGATCACCCAGATACAATAGTGATTAAGTGTCCACCGACACTTCTCCGAGTGCTTCGCACAAAGCTACACTCCTCCAAGGTTTTTCGCAAGCTCCTCTTGTTACTCCGCCTTCCCGAGTACTTCGCACCAAGCTGTACTCCTACATCACGAGAACTACGAACAAAGCTATGCTCTCACATGGTTTTCACAAGCTCCCCTTGTTACTCTGCCCTTTACAACGAGTGCTACGCACAAAGCAACACTCAATCAGGGTTTTTCACTCTCTCTAGTTACTCTGCCCTCTTTCTACATTCAGTAGAGAAGTTTACAAAGAGATAAAAATTTTCTCTCACTGAGATTTCAATTATATCGTGTATAGCTCAATATATCACTTGATGATTGATTGTATATTCTTCGTTGTTTTTCGCTGTAGAATTCCTAAACTGCTCTTGTAATCAAGTGTCTCTCGTAGAATTCATTTTTGTCTTCAAGTCTGCTTGGACAATTTATAGCCAATGAAAGCTATTTGCCCGTTGATCAACTTTCGATCTCGATCGTCCATTTTGAATTGTAGTTGATCAAAAGATATTGTCAACTTGATCTGAAATATTAGGTAGAAGTATTTTCGCCTTTTGTCAGATGATTTGAATATTTTGCCCGTTGCCGTGTCTCAAATTTTGTAGCCTCCAAAATTTGAATAAGTTCGGCGCGGCAAGCTTGATATTTCTTGTCCTTCATAAATGTTCTGACATGTCAAGTTGATCAAATAATTTATCTGCTGATTCTTGCTTGAGTATGAAACAGTTTCTCCGTGAATCAGCCTTCTTCGAGTGTCTCTGGTTCCACCGTAAAAAGATTGATGTTCAGATGAAAATATATCAGTTTATTTTCTACTTCATGATCCTTGTAAAATAATATATTGGAACCTCTGTAAAAACTTCATAGTTGTTCATGGTGAGATGCTATGTTTCGATTTTGTGCTTAGTCCACCTTACATGGTGTGTTTCTCCATCTGGTGCATGGCTCTTGTGAGACTTGTGCATTCATCTTGGTTAGTCTCCTTTTTACTTAGTCTCCAACTTGCCTAGTCTCCTTCATGGGGTTAGTCTCCCATGCTAGCTAGTCTCCTTCTTGGTTAGTCTTCCAAGCTAGCTAGTCTCCATCTTGGTTGGTCTCCAAAGCTAGCTAGTTTCCCATGTTGGGTGGTCTCCAATACGGTTTTAGCTAGTCTCCCAAACGGCTTCCATGGTCTCCCAAGCAAGCTAAAAAAGCTTCACTTGAGATTTGAACTTAAGATGATATGGCATAGCTCACACACATATCATCCAACTCCTCTAACATGGTTCTTAATGACTTATCCGCATCATAATTGTGTTAAGCTGTAATCCCGCTTAACTTCTTCAAATAAATTATGATCTTCCAGACTTGTACATTGGTTGCATGAAATGGGTGCACCATACTCTGTAGACTAAAACTGACTCAAATAGAATAAAATTGGGGATTACTTGATTTTTTAAAAATACATTTGGCTCATCAAAATTTACAAGATATTCCTAACAATTTCCCTCTTTTTTATGATGCCGAAACTTATACCCAAGTCATTTTGGCTTTGTCAATTTTGAAAAATAATTTCTTTTAATTGCTTTTATTTCGACTAGCCAATTGACGGGTTTAACAAAAATTGAGACTTAGAGATTTTAAAATTAGACAATCCTAAACGTATATTTGAGACTTTGTTCGTGGGGTTTGCATTTTTCTTTTTAGCTTCAATTTTTCTTCCCCCTAAATTTTATATTCTCATTTTATACGTGTTACAAATTAATTCTAGGTCCAAAATTAAAATCTTGTGAGATACTAAGCAGAAATAAATAAAATAGCTAAGACACACTAGATAAGTATGGTACCAATTTTTGTCATGCATTTTCAACGCATTTTAGCTTAGCATAGATATCGTATCAAAAAATAATGTGCTAGCTAAATAACTTATACACCAAAAATATTGATTTTGTCAAACAAATTTTACCTCCCTCTTAACTTGGCATTGATATGAGCTCTCAACTTCTTGAAATCCTTCTCGAGGCCCTTGTGTTGAAATGGTGCTGCTACTTGCCCGGTTACGTAGTTACCGTAGGCTTCTCTTATATTATCTCCTTTCAACACTCCTGCTTCATGCCAAAAGATGCACTCATCGAACGTACAGCCATTGCTCATTTGTTCACTCCGATGTCCGAATTCGGTTTGAAGCTCTTGTAATTTTTGTATTTTTGTGGCGAGAGGCTTCGGCAAGGGTGCATTTGGCGTGCGTGGCAACACATCATGAGGGGTTGAGCTTGAGCTAGGGAAAGTACCTTTGAGATAGTCAATCATGCTCCCACTTCGACCTTGACCACTTCGACTTCTTGGAGTTGTTGTTGGTCGAATAAGTTCCACCAATGGTCCTCTTGGTTGTGGAGCTCTCGGCTGTGATACATACGTATAGGCTTGAGGCACAAAATGAGTTGCTAATCCTTCCCCCTTTTCCGAAGCATTAACAAATTTTTGAAAGCTTTCCGAGGAAGAATTTTGTTTTTCTCGAACACCTTCAAGAAGATCCATATTGATGTGAGTTTGTTGTAGGAGTCCCTTCATTTGTTGCTCCAATAGCTTGAGTCTTGAGATTGTTTCGGACCCCAACTTTCCTATTTCAACAAATAATTTCATCACTTCATTTTTCAACTCCTCCTTAGCCGTATCAATTTCATTTTTCAATAGGCCTTGCCTATTGAACAATTTCAACGCACGGTCAACCATGTCCTTATGATAATCATCAAGCTTGTTGTCCATGGCATCCATCTTGGTATTCAACCCTCCTGTGGATTCTTGAAGAATTAACTTGACATCTCCAACAATTTCCTCCCGTAAGGATTGAACATTGAACAATGTTTCGGCTTGCATTGGTGGTGTTGGATTCGGCATAGTGTGAGTGAAATCATCTTGAGGAGTTGTGAGCATTGTCTCGGTAAAGTTTGGCTCGGCCTCCTCATTGTTATAGCAAAGCATCAAGGTGGTATGGTTCCTTGGGTTATCTTGATCATAAAACTCACATGTAGTTGGCAAGCTAGGCAAATTTCATGCGTCATCCAAATTTAAAGAAATTTGATGGCTTGGTGCACTCACATTGTCTTGAATTGATCCCGTAATCTCCGTTGCGAGATGGGGAAAGCAAGACTTATAGCTCAAATTTTCATCTCCAATAGTGGCAGGATACGGGTCTAACTCCGGCAATCCTCCATCATCAATCCGTGCCATAGATCCCTCTCCGGGGGCCCTTCGAATTTCCTCTATTGAATTAATAGTTGCCCGGCGGATTTCATTAGGATCAAATTCTCCAATCGGCACATCCGATGCGGCTTCAACAATTATATTTTTCTCGGTCCTTTTCTTTCTTGCAAGCTTGGTCAAGAAACAAGAATTAATGAACGATAATCGTGTGGCTCGGGCAAGATCACGAGTACCTAGCCAACTCAAAACAAGTTCCTCCCTTTGCAAGGTATTTGGCCCAATTGTCTCGGCCAACTTGTTGTGATCGCCCAACCTCCAAGCTCTCCAAGCTTTGGCACGCTCAAACTCCTCCAACAATGCACTGTCCGCCCCAATTGTTGGTATATTCTCAACACTTCCAACCTCAACTCTGTCATTCTCAACAGTGGTAACCTCCAATCTATTGACTCCTTCTACCATCCCGGGATAATTTAGGACAAGGGGGTTCGGGTTTGGGAAGGGTATGGGTCGTGTGGTTATTGGGTGGCTAGATGTTTCTTCAATGGATAGAATTGCGGGGGTGTTGGATCCCTCATTGCTTGGTTCACGAATGAACGGTTTTAGAGCTAGGGAAGGGTTTGATGCTTTTCTTTTTCGGGTTGGCTTGGGTACAGTGGGTACGGTGGGAATTTTGGTTTCGGTTGTGTTTGGTCGAAAGAGGTAGTTGTGGTTAGTGACAAGTTTGGCTTTGGATAGAGTCACATTTTTGGTTCTTAAGATCTCTCCAATTGCAAAACCATAACCAATTTCTTGTTGAAACCAACCATCTACCAAAGGTTTTGCCTTCTTCAAAGATTCACACAATCTCTCAAACACAAATGCACCCCAATCAACACAAACATTATTCAAAATAACATCCGTTATCAACAACTTCTCCCTCGACAATTTGTCACGGCAATGGTACCTAGACTCAACACACTTGTGTAT